TAATTTGCGGGATTAATAAGTTTATGTAGTGATAGGAAATTTTCGGATCAAAGGCTAGCGTACGTCAGACGTACGTTGTACGCCTGTGTTAACACTTGGTTTTTGCACTGCAATATATTTTACCGAATCAGAATCGTCGGTTATTATTTTTTTAGATTAAATGAATCTTATGAGTTGGGTTAGAGAATTAGGGACTGGGGTTCACCCATTAGAGTTTAGGGTATAGTATCATGCCCCAAACTCCGATTAATTCGTGCTCTAAATAGTAAAACTCAACGGACGTACAATGTACGCTTGACGTACGCTAGCCTGAACCATATATATATATATATATGCTAGTAATTAGTAAGTGATCATTAGCCACTAAGCAAAGATTTAACCTAATTTTCTATCTCTAAACACTTCCTTCTCTTCTCCCTGCCGAACCCACTCTCTCCCTTTCTCCAAGCTGCTGCCGCAACACTCTTTCCCTCCTCTCCTCATTCTTTTCCTAAACCCTTCTCAATTCCTTCCCAATTCACCAATTCACCAAAGGGAGTCCACCCCTTGAGTGAATCCCTCTTTTTTCCAATCCCTAGCAATAATCAGGAAATCAAAATTCCAGGTTTCTATCAACAAAATTACCACAATTATTGTGTTAGTTCCACAAAAAACAAAAGAATCGAATTATCAGTATCCTTGGATTCATTAGGCAAAGTCAGTAGGTATCGACAAAGGTGGCATCCGATTTCGAAGATTCCAACAAGGCATGTACAGAGTGAGGAGACGACACAAATGGGAGGGCCATTCAAACTTTCTTTGACTTCGGATCGTCTGGTAAGATATCGGCAGAGCACTTCAAAGGGGACGGAGGGCCACTTGAAATCAGGGATTCATGGTTTTGTTTTTATAGTATGAATGTCGAAAGAGGAACACAGTGAAGGATTTTAGTGGATCCGCAACAATTGAGTTCACCAGAGCAATTTGTTCTTTTCACAGTAAAACAAAGCGAGAGATCGAGAAAGAAGATCTTCGGATTTACCATTTCATTCTTTTTTTTCGAGGAGATAAACAAATGTCGTTCAAAGTTAAATGAATTAATTGGAACCATTGAAAAGATAAACAAAAAATTGAACCGACGAATAAGAAATAATGACATTGGTGCCGCACTTTTTACTTTTTAGAGCGACATCGTTGACCAGCATTCATGGGAGCAGATCGAGTCAGTAACTGATGGGTGAGTAACCCATCATTAACCCCCCTCTCCTGTCCTCACGCGTCGGTCACTTTTTTTATTTAAATAAAATGTGAAAGGGCAGTAATGTAAATTGCACTTATCCCCTATTCATTGCTGACACTGACTTTTGACCGGACCAAATCAGCTCCTCCTTCTCTCTCGTCGAAAAAACCTTTAATTTTCCTTCCCTTAATCTTTAACGGACGATTTCTCACTCGTTTTAAGCATGGTAAAGGAAACCGTACCAGACATCATATCGGATTTCTTTCTGGTAGGGTAGTTTGTGGTACGACCGTGGTTCAACCGTTTCGTACCGGTAAATACCGTTTTTGTAATAATAAAATATATTTTTTGTCAAAAAACCGTGTCGGCAAAATCAGAGTACCGTTTCGGAATAATACCGGATGTATCGGGATATACCGGACAATAAATGAAAAAAATACAAGTTGGAGGTCACCATACATACTCTTTTTGTTACATTTCTCATTTTTAGAGAATAGTGAGGTAAGGTTCAAGAGATATACGAGGGGCAAAAGGGTCAATATGCTGAGGGTTGGTAATTATTTCTAGCCACAAAAAGCCTAAACCTGATTTGCTCTTCCCTCTTTTTGGCCGCCTCCTTACCTACCCTCTTCTCTGACTCTCCCAACTTCAACCCCCCTTTTCTTCCTTCATTCTAGAAACCAGGCAAAACAAAATTAAAGAAAGAAAGGATGCCAATGTTTGACAGCCCAACAATCCCAATCTCCTTCTATCTCATCGTCGTCATCTTTCTATTCTCCAGTCTCTTCCCGTCTTCGGAGAAAGAATACGATGAAAGGAAGCTTTCGATCTGCTTCTTCCCCTCTCGTTAACGGCGACAAGGATGAGAATTTCGCTAATTAGTTAGGTTTTGGAGGCATGCATGCTCATCTTTTCTTGTCAGATTCTGATTTTAAGTAAATATTGGGGTTCTTACCCCTTTTATTTTGGGTTTGGTCTCAATGGTGGGAAAGGAGAAGAAAGAGGGCCGCGGGCCACCGGGAACCTTGCTAACGACGAACATGGTGGTGGTTCTGGTGTCAACTGAGTAGTAGAGAAGAAGAGTGGCGGCAGGGATGGGCGACAATCGCCAGAGAAGACGAGCGGCGGAGCGGGTTTCCTCCTTGGTTTCGCCTGGGTCACCACCTTGCCGGTCGCAGTCGCCAGACGGCTAGAGGAGAAGAGGAGGAGCGGCGGACGGGGCTAGGCCTTGGGAAGAAAGAAACGACTGGAGGAAAGGGCTCCCAAACCCAGATTAGGGTTTTCGGGGTTCTTGGTCTCTAGCCGATTATTTTTTTTTAAAGAAAATTTAGCTCCAAAAACGGCAACGTTTTTCCTTGAAGTAAGTATAGGTGTCAATCGGGCGAGTTCGGAAGGGTTCGGGTTGGGTTCAATCGGGTTCGGGTTCAAACGGGTTGCGGGTTAGTCGGGTTGCGGGTTCATCGGATTCGAATTTATCGGGTTCGGGTTCAAACAGGTTGCGGGTTAGTCGGGTTGCAGGTTCATCGGGTTCGGGTTCAATCGGGTTGCGGGCAAATCGGCTTGCGGGTTCATCGGGTTTTGGGTCGGGCGGGTTGCGGGCGGGTCGGATTTCGTGTTGTTCGGGCTAGCGCATCAAGTAACTTAACTCATTACTCATTACCAACTTACACATTTTATTACACTAATTTAAAATATTTTCTCAACTTTTTAACCAATTTATTTCTACCTCGTATATATATACTTTATTTTTTTGAAAAAAACTAGTCAAAATTTTAAATCAATTTGTATGACTTGCAAACTTGTTATGTAATTAATCATAATTAGTAAAGTATTATAGCTAATAGTAATGGTGATATCAATATTTGCAACCAAAAGACACCTTTAATTGTTTATTTGATATTTTAGTATTAATTCAGTAGTAATTGAATTAAAGTATCTCGTTTAGTATAACCATGCAAATCTGGTATTTGGCGTGTGGTAATTGGCAAGAGCATAGTGATAAAATGAGTTATTTCAAAATAACTCATTGCCCAAATAACTTCAGTAAACTGTTGTCAAACGAGTTATTTGTAAAATTGTTCGAATTATCCTAAAAATTGAACCATTAAAGATTAGCTATCAAATTTAGTAAAATTATTGTGACTTCAATCATAACTTACTCAATAGCATATATCCTATACACTTAGCCTTACCCTCAATCAACAATATTAAGTTAGTATATGTAGTTGATTGTATACCCTAAACCATCAATACATTATACACTAACCACATAACCTATACCCTAACCATATGTCCTTGAGTTGTGATTTTGCTAGTATAGTTAATTTAAAAGTGAAATTCATACTTTGATTTTCAAAACATAGATAAAAAGTGATATTTGCTAATTGTTATACCCTAACCATATATCCTATACTTTACACCACATACCTTGTACCCTAACCACGTACCATAAACATAAATTAAAAAGGGATCTCCTGCCGTTAAAGACTTCAAATGACTTCAAGTGAACATATGTTAATAAAAAACTTAGAACCGTCAAAACCATCAATATCTTATACCCTAACCATATACACCATAAACCATATGTACCTTATACCTTATACCCTAACCATATACTTTATATCCTAAACAACGAACCGTCAAAGATTACTTATCAAGTTTAGTATAAATTGTTGTAACTAATGGTTAATTCATTTATTAGCCCATAAACAATTACATACATATATACATATTAGCCTTCAAAGCATATAAGAATAATTTTAACTAGTCATGCCCTCCATATAAAAGTTAAAGATTCATATTTCAAAAGCTAAAATTATGAAAAACCAAAAAATTGAAAACACCAAATTTCTTTCCTTCTTTCTTTTCACAAAAATACTAAAATTTCCCTCCTTTCTCCTTCCATACATTAGAAAAACTCAATTTTCCCTCCACTTTCTCTTCCATAAAATTGAAAGAACCAAATTACTCTCTTCTTTCCTTCTACAAAAAGTTGAAAAGTAAAAAGTTTCCCTCCTTATTTCTCTTTCATAATCAAAAGAATCAAACTTTCCCACTTCTTTCTCTTCTCACATGTCAAAACCACCAAAATTTCCACTTGTTTCTTTTCCAAAAAAATTCAAAGAACCAAATTTTCCTCTTCTTTCTCTTCCCAAAAACTTGAATACACCAAAATTTCCCTCTTCTTTTAAAAACATCAAATTACCAAATACATTACTTTACTTTGTTTATATTTAATTGATAATTTTATTGAATAGTTAAATTAACCAAAATTTTAATTTATATATTATATTAATATTGTCATGATCTCAAGTGACCTTCATGTTTCAATTTTGGCAATTTTCTTAAAATACGTAATATCAAGTGAGTTTCATATTTTTTAAATTTCTTATACGAAATGAAAAAATAATTTTACTTAAGTTTAGAATGAAAAACTTTATTTTGAAAAACTATGTATTGTATATTTTTATAATTATTCAAGTGGATTAGATGAAATTTGGGTTAAGTCGGTCGGGTTACGGGTTAGTCGGGTTCAGGTCAATTGGGTTCGGGTTGCGGGTCAGTTGGGTTGCGGGTCAATCGGGTTTGGATTAATCGGGTTGCGGGTTAATCGGGTTGCGGGTTAGTTGGGTTGCGGGTCAATCGGGTTGCGGGTCGGGTGGGTTACGGGTTGTTGACTTTAAGTCAATTCGGGTTGCGGTCGGGTTGCGGGTCGGGTTGATCGGGTCGGGCTATGTTTTGACACCTATAGAAGTAAGCCTACCGCCGGTTAGACCAAAACCGGACGGTATTTACTTTTGTACCGGTTAAGTCGGAAAAACCGGCCGGCACGAGATTCTGATGCCAACCAGCCTACCGTATCGTTCTTGGTCCGATTCCCGGTTGAACCGACCGGTACGATCCGGTTTCCTGCTCCATGGTTTTAAGTCGGATTTTTTTTTTGCACAGTTAGATCAGATTAATTGTGCTCTTCAAAATGATATCCACTTTGATATTTTTTTGACACAAAAGAATTTTTCAGTTATTACCCGTCTATACCATATGGTATTGACTATACCATATGGTATTGACTGGTAGTAAATAAGAGCATACCATATGGTATGAATTTGCCACATCAATATATATTTCGTTACCACCCAATACCATATGGTATAGTGTGGTAATATCAATATATATTTCGTTACCACCCAATATCATATGGTATAGTGTGGTAATATCAATATATATTTCGTTACCACCCAATACCATATGGTATAGTGTGGTATATCAATATATATTGCCTAAAAGAAAAAAAAACAGAAGGATGGAGAGAAAAAAAAAACTCGTCTTCTATCTCCTCTTATTTCCTTCTCTGCAATCAAGAATACCAAAATGCCAAAAAAAGGAGAAAGATCAGAATTGAGGCCAATGATTTGATGAAGAGAAGAAATGCAATGAAAGAGGAAGGTTGCAATTGTTTTTCGTCGATTGCTGTAAAAAAATGAAGAATAAGAGAAGGGAGCAAATCTATATCAGAAGAAGAAGATTGGGAGAGAAAAGGGAAGAGAGAAAGAAGAGTTGCATAGACAAGATTATTTCTCTCTCCTTCGTTGAAAAACCAACTATTAAATGTTGGATAAATTAAAAAAAAAATTCAAAAATGGACAAAAGTACCCTCCCTTCCCCGCGTCTGGCCAACCGCACGATGAGTTGCGCTCTTAGATCTACGGCCCGGATTTATTACTCAGTATCCTAGACCCAGCATCCATGCCCGGGAATGACCCAACCAAACTTCTAAAGAAGTGATTCCCGATCAACTGGTCCAGCTTCAAAATTGGGCAGGAGAAAGTCCGAAAGCCCAGATAGATTATCATCCCTGGGCCTCCACCGTATTTTTCTGCTTTTGTTGGGTTCGTTCCCTTTATTTGCTCCGCACATGAATTTTGAATTTCAAAGATCATGCTGAAGGCGCTACATGCCGAGATCTGATCTAACCAGCACGCCGCCGGAAACTGTCCTTCTGCCGCTCCCCATCCAAACGAAACAACTCATTTATTCAAATCTCGAAATACGTCTGAAGAGAGGGGGAGGGGGGTTCGCGATTCCTGTTCTCAGCGCTCTATTAGTTTGATTGGGTTGCTACAGTGGTTTGCGATTCATTCATCACCGACTGGATACAGAAGCAAACTAGAATGGAGAAGTATGAGAAGCTGGAAAAGGTCGGGGAGGGCACATACGGAAAAGTCTACAAGGCGAAAGACAAATCGACGGGGCAACTGGTGGCTCTCAAGAAAACGCGGCTGGAGATGGACGAAGAAGGCATTCCTCCAACTGCTCTCCGGGAAGTCTCTTTGCTTCAGATGCTGTCTCAATCACTGTACGTCGTCCGACTCCTTTCCGTCGAACACGTCGACGCTGCCGCGAATTCACGCGGTCATACGGACGACGACGACGAGGACCTCACCCACCGCCGCCGCCACGATGCTAAGAAGGGAAACACTACTGCTGATCCTGATCGGAAATCAAACCTCTACCTGGTGTTCGAGTACTTAGACACGGATCTGAAGAAGTTCATTGATTCCCACCGCAAGGGCCCAAACCCTAGGCCACTCCCTCCAACTCTCATCCAGAGCTTCCTCTTCCAGCTATGCAAGGGCGTTGCTCACTGCCACAGCCATGGCGTCCTCCACCGCGATCTCAAACCTCAGAATCTCCTCCTCGATCAGGATAAGGGCATCCTTAAGATCGCGGACCTTGGTCTCGGCCGCGCCTTCACTGTTCCTCTAAAGAGCTACACTCACGAGATAGTCACTCTCTGGTACAGAGCACCCGAGGTCTTGCTCGGTTCAACTCATTACTCCACCGCCGTTGACATGTGGTCCGTCGGCTGCATCTTTGGTCCGCTTCCGTCTTCCTCTTCTTTTTCTTTCAAATTTCTTATAGAGCTCTTTTTGCCTACTCTAATCATCCCTTGTTTCTGGCTTTCGGTGTTTTTTTTTTTGTTTTTATTTCAGCTGAAATGGTCAGACGGCAAGCTCTGTTTCCGGGCGACTCAGAGTTCCAACAGCTGCTTCACATTTTCAGGTACTCCTCCTTGCTGCCTTTGACCCTTTCTTGCCTTCCTTTTCATTTTCTGAAGTACATTCTATGGGTCCTTTCAAGGCTGTTAGGAACACCAACTGAAAAGGATTGGCCAGGAGTAACTAGTCTTCGAGATTGGCATGTGTACCCGCAATGGGAGCCACAGAACTTTGCCCGTGCTGTTCCTTCTCTTGGTCCAGATGGGCTGGACCTTCTATCGGTGCGTACAAGTTCTTCTAACCAACTATTCTACACAAGTGCTTTCAACACCATGTCCATATTGATATCCTAGTTCAACACCATAATATGCTAATTGTAGCAAATGTAGGCATGCAGCTGGTTTTAGCCAGAGCAGTTCCTAACTGTCTTCCCAATGTCTTCCTTGACCTGAGCTCCAAAGCTCCTCCATACATGCGACTTCTTCTAATCATCTATGGTCGTCGTTTACCTCATTTTAGGTAGGTGTGCTGCATCTATAGCCTGACAACATTTTGGGGTCTAATGTTGCCCAATTTTTTCTCTCTCTGCAGAAGATGCTTAAATACAACCCTGCCGAAAGAATATCAGCAAAAGCAGCAATGGATCATCCTTATTTTGAGTTGCTTGACAAATCGCAATTCTAACTAAAAGAGAACCTAGAGGACTGGGTTTATTGTTGTTTCTTCCTGCTCGCGCTAGTTTCTGATTTTACCAGTTGTATGTGTTATGGGGCATGTGCTTCTTCATTGCAAAGAACAAGCTGTTCAGATGGTCGAATCATTGTTAACCATCATTATCTAGGGTGATTGAAGCGAACCAACTATGTAGTGTTATGAATCAGTGACCAGTATGGCCCTTTCGCCATGTTCATTGGCGTCTTGTCCTGCGTTTGTTTATCATTTTTCGTTATTGAAGGGAAACTAAATGTCCCCCATTGTTTCTCTCACTTTAATCACGCACGCTTTAACTCAGCACTAACATCAAGACTAGTTGGCCATTAGCTCCACAAACTTGGATTGGATGCTCCTGCATTTGTGGTTATATCTATATGTGCATGAATGTTGGGCATGAGAACTGAGAAGTATACTCCAAATGAAACTGGTCACAGTGAAAAAAATTGTTTAGCCTTGCATTAATGCAGCAAATGAGACTGGTCACTAATAGAAAGTCTGTTTGAGCGTTATATTGACAACGCAAAATATTGATGAAATGAGTGAATACTTTATAGAAAGGTGACCATCTTTCCGAGATTGGTAGATGAAAATTGTGAGTGTTATCATTCATCCATAGAAGAAAAAAGCAATAATTTCTAAGTTTCTCAATCACAACTGATGGAGTTGAGATTACCGTGGACTTTAGAAAGCATGTTTATTTCAGTACCAAGAACACAACATACATTCGTTACTAACCATTCTTCTATTATCCCCCACAGAACAATACAGCCAGGCTCCCAGTGTTAGAAACAAATACAAAATCAGAGTAAAAGAATACAACGCGGTATTACATGGTAGTTGGTACCTAGTAATGAATTTACGATGCTCTTCCCCCACCACCCCAAGCCAAGAGTTAAAGGGTGAAAAAAGAAGAAAAAACTGAACCAGCATCGGATACTAGCATCATCTTCGGCTGCTGATATAAAGGCTACAGATACAATGATAAAGGAAGCGCATAGTTTGGCTCAAACATATTATTCAGTTAGACCATACATGAACAAGGCCATGGCGGTTGCCCGTATAAATCTCATTGCGTTCTTCGTCATAGAAAAGTGCAGTTATATCTTCAAGTGCCTCAGCTGCTGTACTTCTCATAGACGTGTGACTCAGTTGTTTTGAGCCGCTAGTACTGCCGCCACTGCTACCACTACCACTACAGCTCTCAACGACTTTTGGACTGCCATTGGAGGCATTTATTTTAGCCAAACACTTTCCTGTCAAAATATTGCTGACATTGATAGACCCAGCTGCAGCAACAACATCAGCATCATGGTGAGACAATCACACCCACAACTCAACAGAGAATTTAAACAGAGAATACGAAAAATCCATGACAACAATGAAAGACTCAAACAGGACATGTTACAGAGGACTCCCACAGCAAACACCCCCTAATAAGTTGTTCCGACGCTTGCTTGATTACGATCATTAGCACCAAAACATTCAAATAAGTTGCATATCAAGGCATTGATAATGGATTCAAAATAGTTTAATCAGGAACACTCAGTCACGTGAACATTGAATGACCAATACCATCCTTTATTTTAGCCAAACACTTTCCTGACAAAATATTGCTGACATAGATAGACCCAGCTGCAGCAACAACATCAGCATCATGGTGAGACAATCACACCACAACTCACCAGAGAATTTAAACAGAGAATACGAAAAATCCATGACAACAATGAAAGACTCAAACAGGACATGTAACAGAGGACTCCCACAGCAAACACCCCCTAATAAGTTGTTCCGACGCCTGCTTGATTACGATCATTAGCACCAAAACATTCAAATAAGTTGCATATCAAGGCATTGATACTGGATCCAAAATAGTTTAAACAGGAACACTCAGTCACGTGAACATTGAATGACCAATACCTTCCTTATTTTAGCCAAACATTTTACTGTCAAAATATTGCTGACATTGATAGACCCAGCTGCAGCAACAACATCAGCATCATGGTGGACAATCACACCACAACTCACCAGATAATTTAAACAGAGAATACGAAAAATCCATGACAACAATGAAAGACTCAAACAGGACATGTGAGACAGAGGACTCCCACAGCAAACACCCCCTAATAAGGTGTTCCGACGCCTGCTTGATTACGATCATTAGCACCAAAACATTCAAATAAGTTGCATATCAAGGCATTGATAATGGATCCAAAATAGTTTAAACAGGAACACTCAGTCACGTGAACATTGAATGACCAATACCATCCTTTTTTACATGATTTTTCTTAGTTTAGATTACTAGTGCCCTACCTCACATCATTATCATTTCATACTGCCACTTGTTCAAATTATTTCTTTTACATTCTTCCAATAATAGACTCTCAGGCACTTAATGGGGGGAAATATCCTTTACTAAGCTCCTTTTCATAGGGGGAAGAGGAAAGTACCGTTTGCTTCCATCCACTGATCATCAGATTCAGCCTTGCAGTAGGAAATAATCAGATCCTGATCGCTTGTTATATATATGTTATTGGTGTTGCAGTCAGGATGCCATAATAGGTGGTCCTCAAAAGAGGTTACAAGCTCCCCGCGGAAATTCCAGACGGCGACAGTCCTATTTCTGAATGTTAAGAACAATTGGTTCTCATACAAGAAGATAAAGGCAGACGGTGTCATGAATTCAGTTCTACTGACTTCTATCAGCTCCGCATTCCGAACCTGCAGAAACGAGAAACTTTACTTAAAAAAGAGGACGATGGATACAAACAAGATGGTGATAAATATAAACATAACTTACATCGAGAATTTGGAGGTTTTCATTTTCCTGCTTGACAAGAAGCTTTTCATTGAATTGTTCAATGAAGTCAACCTTTTTGTTTCGGTGGAGTAGATGATTGAATGCTTTGAGAACTGTGCCATCTTCGATTGATAAAATCTTAAGAGGAACATGACTACTTGCTCTATTGAAAATCAACAACATAATCCCAGGACTGATACAAACAAATATACGCAAAGACAGTTAAACATACACTCGAAGGCAGAAAAACAAAGGGAAAATAATTTGCCAATTCTTGTACTCATTCAGTTCAATCTCAACGCAGGCACAATAAGGCTCAGAGGGGTTTCCATAGAGAAGCACAATGCATATGCCCATATACAATAGCCGGCTCGCTTAACAGTGGTGATAGTTCGTACAAAACCTTTTATTCGCATGCTCAATATATTTCCTTGTTTATATCTAGCAGGATTTATATCTCACTCCTCGCCATAACTGGGATGCATTCTAAGATGTCTTCTTTTCATACATGATGTTGGTACATATCAACCTTAAGGTGGGGGGTAAGACGTTGTCATACACCATCATCCTAGGTCAACCCTCTAGGATGTGATACTCTTTCCTTACACTATTGGGGCTTTGATTTAGTTATGAATGTTTACAGAATTTCCTTATTTTAAATCAAAGAAATGTCAGTACAAAAGAAATTGGCCTACAATCTAAGAAGCTTTTTCTTTTACACTTCTTTTATCTTCAATCTACTATTATTTGTTAAGGGATCTCGTTTTTTGGCATGTTTTGTTGCATATCTGCATCCAGCAAAGCAAGCATCAAAGAGACTTGTAAGACACATGGCACCTAGAACCAACTACCAAGACATAGTTGAGTGTCTAGCATCACATGGGAAAGAATCAGACGAGAGTGTTGAGCTTTTGATAACAATGACCTACATAGAACCTTCCTCATCTTCAACCTACTGCTTTTCAGGCACCCAAGGTGACCTCACAGCAGTTGTTTCTTTTATGAATGCGTCTTCTCAACAAGTTAAGGCAGTGGTTTGAAAGTGGGAAGCAAAAACGGATTACCTTATCTTGATTTCTTGTACATGTTTATCTGATATGGAGTACAGCATTGTGTAGTTTTTAAGATCGAACACTTTATATATGCTGCCATGAATGTCAAAAGCAGATGTCAGAATTTATAATCGCGATAATGCCAAGTTTAGCAGATGCCAGAGAGTAGAGCTACCTATCTTGTGCAGAGTACGTAAGCACCTTTCCGTTGACATCATCAAATTCTACAAATCCAGGCCACTTCAAAGACTCAGACTCAAAAAGAGCAAACCCGGCATCCGGCTTGCCTCTACGTATGTACCTAACAGTTGCATAGCATAGATAAATTTAGAACACTCCGCAGCAGCAAATAGCCAAATGAAGAATTGAAGCAAACTGGAGAATAGAACAAGAAAACTTGGAGACTCACTCAATTCTTGTTGATCTGCATTTCAAGGAGCTAAAGTTGTCCGAGGCATAAACGGAAACTGTGATTAGAGAATCGTTGTTCTTGTTATAAAACAAGCTTCGAATGACCTCATCAGGACTCACATTCAGAAAACATATCCTCTGGTTCGTCTCTGCATTAAAAGTGGAGGAAAGCAACAAAAACTTTGTTAAGAGAACAAAAGAATGGTGGCGAAAGGAAGACGAGACTGTCCTACCTCTGCTAAAAGCTGCACAGACACCCGAATGGGCAAGGGCAAATACAATATCACGAGCAGCCACTATCTCTATCACTTTTGTTCTCTTCATCAAAAATGGAAGTACCATCGAGCAGTGGCCTTTGGGGTCATGGGTGTCATATTCATCCTGAGAAGATTGAAATGACTGAGAACAATACTGTAAACTATAAACTAATGTATAAAGATGGAGCACATGGGAAGCTAACAAGATAGAATGAAGTGGAATTTATGAAGCAGATATGGAGCTCAAGTAAAAACACAAGGAATTTGAGCGGGAGACTGACAACACATGGTAGCGCTGTAACTAAGATGCAAGAGCAGTAAGTTAAGTATGTTGGCAGAGGATAATTAGAGTTTCAAACGAAACTCTAACGGGGAAGAAGAAAAGGGGTGGGGATTACCATCAAACGCATATTGCGAAATCTTTCCTGGGCATTGCTCATAGTGAAAGCACGATCCCGCTTGGAGGAAATCTCTCGGCGGTGAAGCTTCTTGACAGTATTAAGGAGACTTTCGACGCGAGGCCTTTTCCTAGCCAAGACCCTCCCACCGGAGCAAGGTCTGGGATTGGCCGAGATTCTCCTGCCCTCAATCATCACGAGGAGGGGGGAGGGGTAGCAGCTGCAGCTGGGATTGATGAAGAGGAGAGTTCCAACTAATCTAAACGAAGGAGTGGGCTGGGCAGAGTTGTGGATAGATTTGAATCATCGACATCGAGGGTGGCACTGGTATGGTATGAACGGTATGAGAACCCGTCGGAATGGAGGAACGGAAATGCTAAAGAGGATAGAGAGAAGGAAGGGGAGAAAGAGCAAAAGAGAGGAATATAGGGAGAGCGAAACCCTCCCTAAATAAATTCCCAGTAGTGAAACTCGAGATAGCGAAGCAGCTGCCGAACCCTAATTCCAGGAGGAGGAAAGAGGGAACAAACAATGGTTGTAAGTTTAAAACTGGGAGGGAGGGAATCCACTATCACATAGAAAATCAGATAAACCCTAGACTGACAAGTACAAGACAAAGGACTCAAAGGAGGATGATAAACCAGAGCAGCTACAGATCCGGAATAACTGAAGGAGGTCAGACTACAGAGGGCGACGTTTGTGGGGGGTGGACAGCTTGGCCGCTGCTCTTTTTTCCCCCTTCCCATTAGATCCTTCTATAGAAGAAACAAATTTTATAAATTCCAATCTTCTTGCAGCCTGCTATGCATGCAACCAAACGACAAACTCCAACACAACTAACATTTGAGGTGACAAATTCGAGCATGACGAGTCACCAAATGAAAATTTATTTTATCATTATGACCAACGAACTTCATCTGACTTCCGACCAGCAAACTACAAATCTCAATAAGAATGTAAGTGTTTTTTCATCGCTAGAGTCTCGCGCATCACATTTCTCAATGGGAGCCTTAACATCACAACCCATAGAAATTTGAGATAAACCATGCTGCAAACATTCTTCAAGGCAGTAACGAAGAGTCGAACTCTTCAGCACGAAGGGATCATTAATCCCCTACAAAAAAAGGTTAGTTGAAGCTGCCAAGATGCCATTATACCAATTCGGTAACACAAAACCAGCTGTCCCATGGCCAGGGGCGGAGCTAGGATTTTGGGTTTGAGGGGCCGGAAATGTTTCGTATATTATCGTAATAAGAAAAAAAAATTAAAATAATTATATAACTATATAAATAAATTAATTGTGTGAATTATCAAAATGTACGAGATGTTTTGTCAAATAATTAGATTGACATTCTTGTTAAACTTATCGGGGAAATTTTTTCCATTAAAGCTATAAAATTGTAAAAAACCCATTAAAGCTATAAAATTGTAAAAAACTCCAACAGAAACTAACATAGGTGAAGATTGAACCCCTGACCTGTTTGATACAGAACCACTATAAGCTCCACTAGGGTAAATCAGCTACTTTATTTACCTTTTAACCCGCGGCCATTATTATAAAACCTGTATTTACTTCGTAATTTTCAGAAT